TCTCCTGCCTCAGCCTCCCAAGTAGCTGGGACCACAAGCACTCGCCACAACACCAGCCTATTTTTTGGTTGCAGCCGTCATTGTTACTTGGAGGGCCTGGGCTGGATTTGAACCCATCACCTTAGGTGTATGTGGCTGGCACCTTAGCCACTTGAGCCACAGGCGCTGAGCCGTAAGATCCTCTTTCTCCTGGCTTTTCTCCTGTGGCTGCTTCAAGCCAGTTTGGGCCAAAAGACCTCAGGAGAGGCCCATTCCAATGGTTCCTAAACTTTACTGCAAAATAGAATCACCCAGGGAGTGCCTGCCCGTAGCTCAGTGGGTAGGGTGCCAGCCACATACACCAAGGTTGGCAGGTTCGAACACAGCCAGGGCCAGCTAAAACAACAATGACAACTGCAATTAAAAAAATAGCCAGGCCTTGTGGCAGGCGCCATAGTCCCAGCTACTTGGGAGGCTGAGGCAAGAGAATCACTTAAGCCCAAGAGTTTAAGGTTGCTATGAGCTGTGACACCACAGCACTCTACCTAGAGCAACAGCTTGAGACTCAGTCTCAAAAAATAAAATAAAAATTAGAATCACCCAGGAAGCTTTTAAAATTTCCATTGCCTAGGCCACACCCCACAGACAAAATGTCTGGACATGGTAACCAGACATCAATAATTCTTAAAGCTCCAAGGAGCTTCCAATGAGCAGCAAAGTTTGAAAATTTCTGGCCTATCTCCCTTTAGGGCTGAGTGGTCTGCCCAGGAATTGCCAGGGCCTCTCTGGCAGGCTGTTATCCAGAATGGTTCAAGATAGGAGGAGAAATGGAAATGTTCATCCACTAGCAGGGGCCTCCACCTACCACCGCCACTATTGAACAGGAGATTAGCTGAGTACTCGGGAAACAGCTGTGGAGTCAGATCTTGGCTCATCTTCTTTCTAGGCCTTGGGCAAGTCCAAGGAGCCCCAGAAGCCTTAAATGGTGAATTGGGGAAAAGAAGACCTACCACTGTGTGCTATGAGGATTCACTAGGAAGCCCTAGTAAGTAACTGTGGTTGTCATTACTCACTCCCCTTCCCAGGAAGTGAATTCTTCAGCTGCCAGAACTGTGAGGCTGTGGCAGGGTGCTCATCCGGACTGGACCTCCTGGCTGAGGACAAGCCCTACAAGTGTCAGCTCTGCCAGTCTGCCTTCCGATACAAGGGCAACCTGGCCAGCCACCGTACTGTGCACACAGGTAGGGGAGAAGAGGGCCCTGACCTTTGCTCCTACAGTTGTCCTTGGGCAAAGTTCCTGACTTCCCCTCCTGTCTCCAGGGGAAAAACCCTACCACTGCTCAGTCTGCGGCGCCCGTTTTAACCGGCCCGCTAACCTGAAAACGCACAGCCGCATCCATTCCGGTGAAAAGCCCTATAAGTGTGAAACTTGCGGCTCGCGCTTTGTACAGGTACGGAGGCAGCCTCTGAGCGGATTCAAAGGCAAATCTGCAAGAGGGTAGAGAGGGCCCTCCCAGAAGCGCGTCTGAAGTCTCCTCCCCTCCCAGGTTGCCCACCTGCGGGCTCACGTGCTGATCCACACTGGAGAGAAGCCCTATCCATGCCCCACCTGCGGGACTCGCTTCCGCCACCTACAGACACTCAAGAGCCACGTTCGCATCCACACGGGAGAGAAGCCTTACCACGTGGGTACCCGGCCCAAAGCCTTTGAATTACCTTCCCTTTACCTAGGGAGGGGCTCTGAGAGGAGCCGGTCTGGCTGCCCCTGGATCTCTTGGAAATGGCTGGTGGCCTGGAAGAGTATCAGTGAGTAAGGGGCGGAGACTGGGGATGTACAGGTATGGAAGTTATGCTCTGGGCTGGCACTGTTTTTCTGGAGAGGGGCTAATGGGAAAACCTCTGCTAAACAAGGTGAGCCCTAGCTCCTGGGCCTCCCCTGAGGATTAGGAGGACGTCGTCAGAGCCAAAGAGCTAATTATTGGTGGACAACTAAACAGTTCCCTCTTGCTCAACATCTAAAAGGTGGTTGTGTATAGAGAGGAAACTGACTGGGCTATCCTCCCACAGTGTGACCCCTGTGGTCTGCATTTCCGGCACAAGAGTCAACTGAGGCTGCATCTGCGCCAGAAACATGGAGCTGCTACCAACACCAAAGTGCACTACCACATTCTTGGGGGACCCTAGCTAAGCACTGGCCCAGACTCCATTCACTTCCTAGGGACCAGAAAAGCTGCAGGTTCAGGGGTGTGCAAGGTCACTCTGGCATTAGAAACTGCTGCCACCTTAATTTCTTACTGGGGAGAGCAGGGGTGGCAGATCCCAGCTAGATCTGCCTCTGTTTTGCTGGTCAAAACCTCTTCCCCACAATCCAGATTGTTTCTGAGGAGAGAGCTAGCCAGAGAATGGGGGAGGGGAGTGAATGGAGGCCTGGTTTCCTTAAGGGAACACCTGTCCACTCATGGCCACTATCAAATTCAGTTTATCTGTAAATATAATTTATTGACCTTTGGGTGGCACCAGGGCCTTCATTTTATTGCATTTCCCACTTCCCTCTTCCACTGGTAACCCAGAATACAGAAAGTGACTCACAGCTCTGCTGGCGGAGAATATTAGCACTTGGCTCTCTCCTTTGGCTTGAGTGTATATTATTATTGTTGTAATTTTTATCTTTAGAATTGTTTTTTCTCCTCTGCTTGTTGGCTTGTGTAAAATGGAGGAAGGGGTTCTCTGTGTCCTGTCTCTTCAATTCTAGGTCTGGAACCTTTATTTGTCCTAGGGCAGCTCTGGGAACTTGTTGGATTGTGGATTTGGGTCAGAAAGCCTCTCTGATATTCTGGATGTTGTAGGTTCTCCGGCACTCTAGAACTGGATGTAGACATTGCTTGCTTCTTCAAGGGTGATAGGAACCTTTATGGTGAACCTGAAATGGAGTTAATAAATCCTCCTCTCAGCTGTGGGTGTAGGGTCTGGATTCTGCATCCTTGCAAGTGGAAGCTGGTAATCTCCTAAAAGATAGTCCAGAATCTAAACTGTCTCATTAATCTGGTCATCTGAGTTTGGCTCTGCTCTATCCATCTTATTGGTAGTCCCCCCTCCCCCAGGGGCTTCAGTTGAACCCATAATCCTCCCAGAATCTGTTATTAGCAATGAGTTGATCACTCCATAGGGGAGATATTGGAAATTCTTTCTCAGAAATGATGTGACCTTTTATGACTCTACCCAACCTCTATGAATGTTATGACCTAGGAGAGAATACAAAACCTTGATTAAGGTGGTAAAAAGTCATAACCCATCTTTTATTACAGAGGCCTCGGAGTTTGAATGTTCCTTGGGGTTCTCACTACCTGGGACAAGCCCCTTCTTTCTTTAACAGGTTTTTGGACAACTTCTGGCAAGTGTTCAGATACCAGAGACTTCTTGCCTTTGCCTCTGGAGCAAAGGTTTCTAACCTCTTTTTTCTCTGCTGCACTTGGAAGAAGCAGCATTGTCTTGGGCCACACAATAAATACAAAAACACTAATGAAAGCTGATTAGCAAAAAAAAAAAAAAAAGTCCGTGCATACTTTGTGATATCTGACACCACAGATAAGCAAAAAAAGTCCTCACAAAATCAGCATGTGGCCCAAGCTGGAGGTTGGACACCCCTGCTCTAGATGTCACAGTGCTTGGTAACTTTCTTGCCTTAGAAAATCTGGGTCTGTGACCCAGTCTTCCCATCACTGCATTCTGGTCTGGGACCAGTGAATGCATTAGATCTTTCCACAGAAAAAGAAAAGGGGCTGAGTTCCAGTCTGGGTTTGCTGTAGTCTGGGATTATGATTGGGATTGTTGTTGGGGGAATAGAGATTTAAAAGATTGATCAGTGGCTGATGGGCCAAAGGCCCGTTCTAGTTGATCAAGTTTCCAGGTAGGATTAAGATGTTGGTTGAGGGGTAGTCTCTGGTGTAGGCCAGGTAGAAAGAAAGTTAGAATGGGGTTGCCTCTAGGCTGAGTGGAGTTTCTGGAATGTTAGATAACATTAGGAAGCCTTGATTTATAGTCCTGCCCATTGTTGCCCTGGGCCCTATTTGTTTATGGGACGTAGGTGAAGGGTAAGACGCACTTTTGAATTTGTGGAGTGGAACTTCGCTACTTGTCAGTACTAGTGGCTGTCACTTGGGGACTGGGGAGAAAGCTCTCTTTCCCTTTATTTCCCTGTTACAGAACTGAAGGAGGGAGGGAAGGCAAAGGACAGATGTGAGAAGGAACCATGATTTCTATTTATCAGAATGGATGAGCAGGTGGACAATGCCTGAAGGTTGAGATGTTATATCTTGCAAGATCTGGTCCTTGGAATAAAGAAGCCTCTCTGTGCCACCTGTGTCTTGGGTTCTTACCTGGAAGGAGGGTATCTGGGTATTGGAAAAGAAGGCTCTTCCCTCCTGGATACCATCTTAGATTCTATGCCCATTTCACGGTCCCATCCTACCAGACATTTTAAATGGTCCTTGTTCTCCCCTTCCCTGCCCTTGCCTTCCGGCTCATTGTGTAGGGACCAGTGACTTCATGAAGTTTCTCCGGAGCCACCTGCATCCTGCTATGAAGTCACTTCCTGCCTGAGGTGTGGTGGTGGCAGGGAAAAACCAGGAAGCCACTAATAATACCAAGAGGCTGGGGATCTTAATGCTTGGGACACGCCTACATCAACAAGGAAAATGGATGGGACTTGAGTACCATAAGGACAAGAGGGGCTAGAGGTGGCATCGACAAGACTATGTGGTTAGAGCTAACATGCCAACTCTATTCCTTCCCCCAGCAATGGTACCATGGAATCTATCTAGTGTACACTGCGTGTCTCTCTCCCCCTTTCCCCTGTGTGTGCTACGTGCACACTTCTATTTTGCCCCATTGGCAGATGTCACCAAGTCTGTTACTTCTCTGGCTTTTAAATTCCTCATCTGTAAAAAAAAGTCAGTTAACACAGTCTCTGCAGTTCCCTCTAACATTTAGTTTGTGGTTGTCTTAGTCTATTTTCTGTTGCTTATTACAGAATACCTGAAACTGGGCAATTTATAAAGAAAACGATTTTATTTCTCACAGTTAAGGAAGCTGAGAAGTCAAGGTCAAGGGGCTACATTTGGTGAGGGTCTTCTTGCTGGTGGAGCCTCTCTGTGGTACAGCATACCCATGGCAAGGAAGCTGAGCATAATAATGTTCTAGCTCAGGTTGCTCTTCTTATAAAGCCAGCAGTTACCCTCTCCTTAATAACCCATAAATCAATGGCAGAGCCCTGTGGTCTCAATCACCTTTGAAGGCCTCATTGCTCAAAACTGCCACCTTGGGGATTATGTTTCAACGTAAGTTTTTGGATGAGACATTCAAAACAGCATTCTGGGGCAGCACCTGTGGCTCAGTGGGTGGGGCGCTGGCCCCATATCCCGAGGGTTTCAAGTTCGAACCCAGCCCCGGCCAAACAGCAACAAAAAAATAGCTGGGCGTTCTGGTGGGCACCTGTAGTCCCAGCTACTTGGGAGGCTGAGGCAAGAGAATCACCTACGCCCAGGAGTTGGAGGTTGCTGTGAGCTGTGACAGCATAGCTTTCTACCAAGAGCAATAAAGTGAGACTCTGTCTCTTAAAAAACAAAAAAAACAGCATTCTACCCCCGACCCTGAAAAACATGTCTTTCTTCCATACAAATACATTTCTTCCATCCCCATTGCCCAAAAATCTGAACTCACTCTAGCACCAACTCAAAAGTCTAAAGTCTCATCTGTGAGACTGTAAAATCAAAATAAATTATCTACTTCCAAGAGACAATGGTGGGAACAAACATTGTATATACATTTACATTGCAAAAGGAAGACATAGGCAAGAAGCCCCAAACAAGTCCAGAACTCATGGGCAGATATTACATATTAAAGCTGGAGAATAATCTTTTTTGATTTCATGTGACAACTTCTGGACATACTGGAACAAAGTTAGGTCGCCAAGGCCTTAGGCAGCTCTGCCCCATGGCTGCTCTTACGTAAGGTTTGGCATTTGGTGCCTGAAGTTCTCCTAGGTGGACATTGCTTACTGCCTGTGACTCCATAGTTCTGGAATCCTGGTAGCAGTCCTGCTCCTGCAGCTCCACTAGGCATTGCCTTTGTGGGTACTCTGTAGTAGCCTTGCTTCCACAGCCCGAATAAGCATTGACCTGGCGAATAAGTATTCTCTGCAGCAGCTTCAACCCCACATTTCTGCTCAGCATTGCTCTGGTGGGGGCTCTCTGTGGTGGAACTGCCTCTGTGACAAGTCTCTGCCTGGGCCCCCAGGCTTTTGAGGACATCCTTTGAAATCTGGGTAGAAGCTGTCAAGCTTCCACAGCTCTTGCTGCCTGCAAGCATACAGAATTAGCACCACGTGGATGCCAACAATGTCTGTAATTTGTACCTTCTGGAGCTGGGACACAGGCTTCACCCGTGGCCTCCTAAGCCACCAGGCTGAAGGGGCTGTGGAGGATTTCACTGGGGTTCAGGGTGCAGAATCTTGAGGAAGCCCTGGGATGCAAGCCCTTGGAGAGTGCCCCAGGCCTGTCACCTGAAACCACTCTACCCTCGAAGCTTTGGGTCTATGAGGGGAGGGGCAGCCTGGAAGATCTCTGAAATGACTTTAGGGTCTTTCTTCCATTTTCTTGAGGAATAGTTCAGGTTCCTTTTTAGCCATGCTAATCTTTTTAGCAAGCTGTAGCTTGGCCTCACCCTTGGATTCCTTTCCTAAAAATGCTCTTTCATTCTGTATCACATGGGCAGAATGAGAACTTTCCACATTTTCCTTCCCTGTTTCCCTTTTCTCTACCAGTTCACCAAAAGGAGTTAGAAGTAACAACACAATGGCCTCAGCACTTTGCTGCTTAGAAATTTCTTCTTCCAGGCTCAGCGCCTATAGCTCAAGAGGCTAAGGCACCAGCCACATACACAGGAGCTGACGGGTTTAAATCCAGCCCGGGCCTGCCAAACAATAATGACAACTACAACCAAAAAATAGCCGGGTGTTGTGGTGGGCTCCTGTAGCCCCAGCTACTTGGGAGGCTGAGGCAAGAGATCGCTTAAGCCCAGGAGTTGGAGGTTGCTGTGAGCCGTAATGCTATAGCACTCTACCCAGGTCGACAGCTTCAGGAACTGTCTAAAAAAAAAAAAAAAACCCAGAAATTTCTTCCACATAACTCTAATTTATCACTCTCAAGCTCAGCCTTCCACAAAGCCCTTGGGCATGGACATATTTCAGCTAAGTTCTTTGCCAGTTTTTAACAAGGACGGCCTTTACTGCAGTTTCCAATACCTTGTTTCTCAGTTCCATCTGAAACCTTGTCAGAATGGCCTTCCCTGTCCCTGTCAGCATTATGATCATGGCCACTTAATTTTTTTTTTTTTTTTTTGAGATAGAGTCTCAAGCTGTCACCCTGGGTAGAGTGCTGTGGCATCACAGCTCATAGCAACCTCAAATTCTTGGGCTTAAGCGATTCTCTTGCCTTAGCCTCCTAAGTAGCTAGGACTACAGGCAACTGCCACAACACCCAGCTATTTTTTGGTTGTAGTTGTCATTGTTGTTTGTCAGGCCTGGGCT